GATTATACTAAAAAGAGATTAGAATCAAGAGAATTACCAACATGTCGACCTACCGATTGGACAAATGATGAGACAATAGATGAGTTGTATTCATATTATTTGAAGAAGCGTACACTTGCTAATATTAATTGGCAGAGTATATTTTTGGAATGGGCTAAAAAAGGAAACAGAATTATAGAAATTTGATCAGTCCTTCAAAAAATTTATCTTAAGAATTTTACATTTAATGATCGAGAAAAAAGAGCATGGTCGACATTTTTCAGAGCTACGGGATGTACTAATATTATGCCATTTGGAATTGATAAATATAAGGTAAAATATTTTATAATTTTAAAAAATATTTTATGATGATTACCAAATATTTTTTTTATTTCGTGTGGATTTTGAACAAAAGAAATCAATCCTTTACATGATCAAGAAATATTATATACTTTGTTTGAAAATAGATTCTTACGAACAATACCATTTGATGACTCATCCAAATCATGTAATGATTTGACAGAACGATTAGCCAGTTGTTTAATAGAATCATATGAAGCAAATAAAAAAGTTGTCGAAGGCAAAAGAAGAATTTTATTTATTATTGCAGATAAATTTTCATTACAAGAACTGAAGCTAATGAAGGTAAAATAATAATAATAATAATAATAATAATAATAATAATAAAATAATATAATAATTACTTTATACAAAAGTTTCAGATGTCATCTTGAACTATTCAGGAAGCAAAAACATTTGCACGCATTAATGGACCAGGTTGTTCAATAATTAAAAAACTAACAATTCATCATACCCGATTTTCTGAAGAAGCAAAAGATCAATTTGAAAAATTTTTTTCAGATAAATCCATTGTTAATATGAGTTCATACAAAGTTGATTTACAAACCAAACTACCAGTGCTTTATTTGAAAGATAATAAAACAGCTTTATGGAAAAAATTTTTAGAAACATATCCAGATGGTTATAAGCAAATAATATTTATGACAGAATTGGCACGAGGATGTTTTCAATATCGTGAAGATCTTGGTGGCCTATGTTCTATATGTTGTCAATATGGATATAATGTATTTGAAGATTTAGTTAAATTAATTTTGGCACAAATAAAGGATCTCAAATATCAGATGATGAAAAATATATTTTTATATTATTTTTTTTTTTAAAAAAATTCAATTTAGTAATACTTCTTTATTGGTAAAGTCTATTTTGATTGATAAGGTTGAAAAGGTTAGAAGACATATGAAGCGTGATTATGAAAAAGAAATATTAATAAATATCAATGGACAAGTGAATCATAATCCCTGTATTTCACATTGTTTAGCATATGCCTTTGGCATTTGCGAAAATACACATATTAGCATTTGTGAAAATACAATGAATTATAGATACTCTTTACACAATTACAATTCGATCTGAATGAGTCCTTTTCTGAAATACTAAATGAAGCCCGTGAAAAACTGTGTTATTATCTTTCTCATCAAACGTGTAAAGTTTATTTAAACTTTCAATTTTCTATTAGTCTTCGAGAACTTGATGAAGATAGAGCATTGGTAGTTGTAGATTACAAGATATGAGTTCTTCCCAAATCAGCACGAGAAACGAAAGATGAATTTTTTGGCAAGCGAGGATTGACTTTACATACAGTACTAGTATATACAAAAAAAGAAAATAATAAATTAGATATTAGTATTTTTGATCATTGGTCGAATGACACCCGTTAAGATGCATAGTTCACGGCGTCATCACTTCATTCAGTAATAATTACTCTTGAAAAAAACCCCAAATGGGTCTCAATTATTTCGAATAACGGGGTCACTATCATAACTCATAATTGATGGTTATTTTAAGCTATTGGTATAAATGATATGTTATCGAGATTAAAAAATGGATATTTTTAGAGTCCAGAAAAGCGAAAATGACAATTGATTCTCACCATGCCCAAGTAATCCATTTTTATTATTTATTTATTTATTTATGAATTCACAATTTAATTTTATCTCTTTCTTTAGATTGCATATGCAATCAAACATTTTGTTCGATTAGGAAATGATTTAATAAGCGGAAAAAAAATTGAGACAGCAATTAAACACCTTCGCAGAACTTCAGTAGTCCATTTAAAGCCAAACAGAAGCACAGAAAATCAGGTTAAAATATTAGCAGGAATCTCAGAATGGTATTTTTGGCAATAGCCACGTAAAGGAACTTACAGTGAATATATACAAGCGCGCGCATTGCCTAATGTTGGAAAATGGATTAGTTTTTCATCAGCACAAATAAATGGTTTAGTTAAACAAAAAATCAACAGGCCCGAACTTACCTGTACATCACATTCTGCACCTAAAGAATTATGGAATATTCCAATTCCGGATCTATCAAGTATTGTATTTTATATTATATATTTTTATTTTGATAAAATTATTTGTAGAAAATACAATTATTAGTACACCTGAATTCCAAACGTATGAGATTATCTGAAATTAAAAATGAAATGATGCAGAGAGATGATTTATTTGAAGAAAATCAAAAATCGAAGTGAATTATCAATACTTTTATAAAAAAATATTGATGAAAAAAGAAATGCAGGTAGTTTTCATCTTTGTTGTTAC